TTGCTGTGTCCCTCCCTCACCCCGGGGTTTGCTGTGTCCCTCCCTCCTTCCAGGGTTTGCTGTGTCCCTCCCTCACCCCAGGGATTGCTGACCTGGTTTGGGATTTTGCCCTTAATTTGAAGGAGGAAATGGGATTTGGGGCTTGGCTGGATCAGACCTGGTGTGCTGCTCTCTAACCCAGCCTGGATGGGGATGAGCTCCCTGCAGAGCTGCTGCTGTGGCTCTCACTCCTCGTGTCCAGGTGACAGCAGGGGTGCTGCCAGCTCCTTCCAGGCAGGTGTAACTCTCCTCCCGTGTCCCATCCTGCAGGTTTTGGATGCAGTCAAAAAGCACGGTGTGAAGCTGACCACTGTCCTGACCACCCACCACCACTGGTAACCACCCTGTGCTGGATCCCTCACACAAACACATCCAGGAGCTGCTGCTCTCCTGCATCCAGGTGATCTCTGAGCAGCAGCTGAGGCTGAGGAGAAGGATCAGAGCTCATTCCTTTGGCCTTGTGCAGAGCACGAGCTGTGTGTCAGTGCCTTTCCCCTTTAAAATCCTGATTTTTCCAGGGAGCCAGTGCAATAACTGGGTGTGGAGGCAGCTCTGGGGTGTGGGAGGGAGCAGATTGTGCTGAGGTGTCAGGACAGGCCCATGAGGCATCCTGCAGTCAGCATTGTGGGAGGATCACCCCAGGGGTAAATCAGCTCTGCCAGGGGTGTAAAATGAATGTTTAACTGTAGTAACCTGTCCGTGGGTCAGAGTGGAGCCACCTCTGTGGCTGGAGAGTGAAACAATCAGCCCTGAGCTGGACAAACCAGCAGCACAGGGGTGCAGGATTGCACATTTTCCACTCACCCCATTCCCTCCCTGCCCCAGTTACTGGAGAGGTTACTGGGAGCCCCTAAGGCTGCTGGTTCCCAACTGGGGATGGGATTGTCAGGGATTGATTCCCCCTCTCACTGCCCTGATTACTGGAGAAATGATCTCCACTCTTGTTATCATGGCCAATCCTTGGATATGAGGAGTGATAGATCCTGGGAGAGGAGTGCATCAGAAATGATCACCACTGCACAACCAATGCCCATAAATCTGTGTTCATTCCTCTCCAAATCCCTTTTTTTTTTTTCCCTTTCCAGGGACCATGCTGGAGGCAATGAGAAGCTGGTGAAGATGGAGCCGGGGCTGCACGTGTACGGGGGGGACAGCAGGGTGGGGGCCCTGACACAGAGAGTGTCCCACCTGACAGCTCTCAAGGTAAAGGGAGGCACCTGCAGGACTCTGGGCATCCCCTCTGTGTGTCACAGCTGCACAGGTGTGTTCTCACCTGAGCTGGTAGCTCTGAGCACCCCTGGGATGTGGTGGGTGCTTGAAGTGCAGCTTTCCCCCTTTTCCAGCCCTGGGAACTGCAACAGCTCTGCCTTGTTGGGATCCTTGTGTGAGGACAGCACTGAGCCATGTGGGACATGCTGGGTGTCCCTGTGCAGCTGGGGGGACAGGACAGGGATTGTGTGACAGGGACTGACAGGACAGGACAGGATCTGTGTGACAGGGATTGTGCTCTGCCAGGAACACGGTGAGCACTGAACACATCCAGGTGTTCCTGTGGCAGTGCCAGCTGGAATTTGGGGTGGGCAGGGCAGTGCCAGCTGCCTGCGTGGCTCTGTGCTGGCTGGGAGCCCCAGGCCTGGCTGGGAGCAGCCTGTTTGTTTGCAGGAGAGCTGGCAGGTGACACCAAGTGCTGGGAAAGGTGCAGGCAGGTGTGGACAGCACTGCTGGCCTCGGGTGCAGCCCTGGAGGGGCAGCAGCAGTGGAGGAAGGTGGGCACATGGGGCTGTGTTTAATCCTTGTTTTTTCCTCAGTGTCATCCACTTGTCCCCTTCTGCTCCATTTTTGTTTGGAGCTTTTTTTCACGCTCCATTAGCTTTGTTTGGGATTCTCTGTTGCTCTGGATCTCTTGGCTCTTGCTGCCAGCCAGGCTTTGAGTCCTTGTGCATGGAAATGAAAGGATCTGGCAGTTCTCTTTGTCAGGACACCTGCTTGGAGGAAACAGCTCCCTGCCACAGACCTCCCTCCCTGGGCTCTCCCAGGAGCAGAACTGGCATTTCCTGGCCAGACTGGGGCAAATTTAGGAGAATTAGAGCACTAAGAGTAGCAATTCTTTTCTAATCATGCAATTACCAGCAAACAGCAGCTTCAGCTTTAGTGTTCTGCCTTCTTCCCAGGTGGGATCTCTAAGTGTGAAATGCCTCAGTACGCCGTGTCACACCTCGGGCCACATCTGTTATTATGTGACTAAGCCAAATAGCTCCGAGCCACCTGCAGTTTTTACAGGTGAGGAGTTGGGAGGTTCCCTTGCCAAAACACAAACTCCCCCTCTGCCTGGGTGCCTCTGGCTCTGGATGTGTGTCTGTCCCTTGCTACCAGGGCAGCTGCTTTAACACCCACGTCTTGCTCCCCTCTGCAAGCAGGAATTGGAGGTGGAACTGGGGAAAACCCTCTGGGTTTGTAAACCAGGGCTGCACACCCTGCAGGCAGCATCAGGAGAGAGCCCTGGATGAGTTCTACATCCAGCATTTTTTTTCCTTGAAAAAAAGAGCTGTTGGTTTCTTTGTCTCGGGCCAAACTGGCTGATCCCAAACCCCGTTGCTTTTCCATCTGTCTGTGCTCACAGCAGAGAGAGGAGAGAATAGGGGAGTCAGGGAGGGCTGGTGCTGCACTGCTGATGGCCAGGGCCTGGATCCTGGTTTGGGGAGAAGGATTCCCCTTCCCTGGGGCTGTGCTTCATCCCTGCGTTCTCCAGAGCTCACAGAAGCTCCTGCATGGAAAGGAAAGAGGCTTAAACAAGATTTTAGGGAACACTGAGGAGAAAACAGAGACAACTCATCTTTGTTCAGTTTCACAGCAAAGAAAGGTGTTCCTTGTCCCCTCCAGGAGGGACAGCAGGGGACAGGGGCTGCCCACAGGTAGGAGGTGCTGGCAGGGTGAGGCTCTGGAGTTGCACGTTGGCCACCAGTGTTTGTGTGGCACAGCCTGGCTGTGCCGTGCTCCTGCTGCTGTGCTGAGCCCCAGGCTGGGTGTGGGGATCCTGCTGTGGCCTGATGCAGTGTCACCCCTGCAGGTGACACCCTGTTCGTGGCTGGCTGTGGCAAGTTCTTCGAGGGCACCCCAGATGAGATGTACAAGGCACTGATCGAGATTTTGGGCAACCTGGACCCCAAAACGGTACAAAGCTCTCCTTTTGTGTGAGTGAGCCATCCCAAAGCACCACAAAAATCACAGAAACTCCCTGAGAGTGCTGCTGTTCAGAGAGAGACTCTGCTGTGTGCAAGGAGTGAGTGCTTGCACGAATTCTGTGATGGCTGCAGTGCTCTGGAAAGGATTTGCCTGCCCCAAATGTGTTTGTGCTTTGTGGGGAAGGAGCAGGGGCTGGGAATTAAAGGCTGCTGAGCTGGGACATGGAGCTCTCTCATTTGTTAAACTGGCAGCTTGTCGTGCCTGCCTGGGTTGAGTGTGCTGTCCCTGCTGTGCTGGTGGCACCTGGCAGTGCCTCTTGGTGCCTTTGGAGTCCCCCCAGTGTCACTGTCCCTTCTCTCCCCAGAGAGTTTACTGTGGCCACGAGTACACCATCAACAATCTCAAGTTTGCTCGGCACGTGGAGCCCAATAACCCCAGCATCCAGGAGAAGCTGGCCTGGGCCAAGGTGAGCTGTTCACCCTTCCCCTGGGCACAGGGCCTCGCTGAGGAGATGGAGCACAGGAGGAAATGCTGGGCAGAAACAGGGCCAGTGAAGAGCCAGGAGCTGCAGGATGTTGTGTTCCAGCGAACTGGGTTTGGCTGTGCCCACGGTTTGCTGTCTGAGGGGGACATTGGAAACTCTGTGTTGTGCACAGGACACTCCCTGTCCCCCAGAACTGAGCACTGTGTCCCCCATTGCAGGCCAAGTACGACAACGGGGAGCCCACCATCCCCTCCACCATTGCTGAGGAGTTCACCTACAACCCCTTCATGAGAGTGAGGTAGGGAAGGGCCCTGCTGGGAGGGGCTGAGGGGAGGAGGAGGAGGTGGGAATTCCCAGTGGGAATTGTTCTTCTGCCTCCCACATTCCTGTTTGGATGCCTCCAAAACTCACTGGCAGGAAGTTCCTGGATTGGAGGGTTGTGCTGAGCATCATTCCCTGGCTCAGGAGACAGAACAGGCTTTGTTGTGTCCTGTTCCTTCATGCAGCAGAAGATGCTGCTGGGGCACAAAAGTGCAATTTCCTCCTGCCCCCCTGAGCCTTCAAACCAGGCCTGGTGAGCTGTGCCAAAGCCCAGGCTGTGATGCTGAAGTGCAGCCTTGAAACCTCACCCTGCTGCCTCCACAGATGGGGTTCCCTCCTTGATCCTGGGGTTCCCTCCCTGATCCTGGGGTTCCCTCCCTGCCCCTGGGGTTCCCTCCCTGATCCTGGGGTTCCCTCCCTGCCCCTGGGGTTCCCTCCTGAGCCTGGGGTTCCCTCCTGAGCCTGCTCTTCCCTCCTGGCAGGGAGAAGTCAGTCCAGGAGCACGCTGGGGAGACTGACCCTGTCCGGACCATGGGGGCCATCAGGAAAGAGAAGGACAACTTCAGAGTGCCCAAGGACTGAGCACTGCCTGCACCACTTTAATGTCACTTCAAGTGTCACTTAGACCATTCAGATGTTTTAGGAGTCAAATCTTCTTCTGTTGTGGTTGAGACAGGTTTTATTTAGGTTTTTATTTTGTCTTAATTAAGAAAAAGAAAAAGCACTTTGCCCTTGTTAAGATGTTCTACAGCATATTTATATTATGATGAAGAATATTTATCCTCCTCTTGCTGTCTCTCGAGCTGTCACGTGTCACCTGCAGGTCTTTGTGCAAGTGTTGCTGTGGGCTGGGCAGGATCAAACCTGGAGGTTTAGGAAGAAGCTCCTGGCATTTCTGTGGCTGCAGGAGGTGGGACTGAGATGTCTTTGTTCCAAATGCAGGAGCTGAAAATGTCAATGTTTCTTCCGTGCTGCTACTTCAGCATTCTGAGTATTCTGAGTATTGCTTCAGCAGCTGCAGGGACAGCCCTGCTGTGCCACTGCTGGCTCGGGGTGGCATTTGGGCTGCTCTGTGGCTCCTGGACCCATCCAGCTTCTCTCCTGTCCCTGGCATGGGCAGCAGGGACATCCCCAGGCATTGCTGTGCTTGCACCCTTTGAGTCCTGCTGCATGAAGCTGCTCCTCCCTGTGCCCTGAGTGCGACCTGTGCCAGCCACAAACCTGCCAGGGATTTGTCTGGTGCCTCAGAGTGCAGCAGCAGCCACTCCTGGTGAGTGACTGTCCCCCTGAACAGTGGTGACACTGGGGCCTGTGGGTGACAGGCAGCTGAGCAGTTGTTACCTGTCCCCAGGTGAGCAGGGATGTGGGGTGGCACCAGGTCTGGATTTGCTTTCAAATGCTGAATTTTCTGGCGTTCAGAAAGAAAAGTGGTACCTAAAGCTGTGCTGCCACACCAGGGTGTGATTGTACTGAGGGCTGGGCAGAGGGGAAATAAAGAATGGCTGGAAACAGAGGTTCTTTAATCAGCTTGATTAATTTATTGTAATTTGAGATAAATTAATTTATTGGTTTGGGACTAGAGATTGAAGTCAACCAGCTGGAAGTGTCTTTGTACCTAATCCTGGGGTGAGTGGGTGGCACTTTGGGGACCCCAGGGGCTTTAGTGGCAGCTGTATTTCTGTGAAGAACAACAGAGAGGCTTCAGCCCTGGTTTTGCTGCCTGTGAGTGCCATTCCCTCCTCACTAGGGGGTGTCCAGAGAAGGGAACAGGGCTGGGATGGGGCTGGAGAATCCCTGAGGGAGCTGGGGAAGGGCTCAGCCTGGAGAAAATTTGGGATCAGGGGGAATTTGTGGCTCTGCACAACTCCCTGACAGGAGGGGACAGCCTGGGGGGGATTTGGGATCTGCTCCAGGGAACAGGGACAGGAGGAGAGGGAACGGCCTCAGGGCCAGGGGAGGTTTAGGGTGGATTTTGGGAGAATTTCCTCCTGGGAATGCTGCCCAGGGCAGGGATGGAGTCCCTGGGGGGATTTAACAGCCCTGTGGATGTGGCACTTGGGGACATTCATTGGTGGCTTTGGCTTCTGGGGGAATGGTTGGGCTCTATCTCAGAGGACTTTTCCAACCTCAGCAATTCCATGTGGGGACCATGGTCAGCCCTGGTGTCTCAGCCCTGCTCCTCCCCCTGTGCCTTTGGGGTTTCCTGGGGTCCTGTCCCAGACCCCCCCATCAGGAATTCCAGTGTCCAGCACCACTCTGTACCAGTGCCACCAGTGCCAGCATCCCCTCATCCCTCCCTGTGTACCCCGCTGGCCCTGGGGACAGGGGCTGAGTGTGGGGTGTCAGGATGGGCCAGGGTGACACAGGGACTGTCCCCTGTCCCCTCGAGCTGCAGTGCCGGCCAGGGACCGATTGTGGGGTGTCACATGTGCCAGGGTGACACAGGGAGTGTCCCCTGTCCCCCGGAGCCGCAGTATCCGGGACAGAAGCTGATGGGGGAGTGTCAGGGTGACACCCAGGGTGGCACAGGGACTGTCCCCTGTCCCCCGGAGCCGCAGTATCCGGGACAGGAGCTGATGGGGGAGTGTCAGGGTGACACCCAGGGTGGCTCAGGGACTGTCCCCTGTCCCTGTAGCCGCAGTGCCGGGGCCGTGCGGGCTCTCCCCGCCCCTCGCTGCGTGACCCGCCCCGCACACGGCGGGACCGCCCCGGCACCGCCCGGGGGTGGCGCTGGGGACACGCCGGGGACACGCCGGGTCCCCGCACCCGCCCTGTCCCCGCCGGGGCCATGAAGGTGAAGGTGATCTCCGTGCTGGAGGACAATTACATGTACCTGGTGATCGACGAGAGCACCCGCCACGCCCTGGCCGTGGACGCCGCGGTCCCCAAAAGGGTGAGCGGGGACCCGGGGCGGGGGCGGGGGAGGGGGGTGAGATCCCACTGGAGCATCCCCCCGGCAGGACAGAGCCCCCACATCCCATGGGATACAGGATTCAGAGCCCCATATCCCGATAGGATACAGGATTCAGAGCCCTCCATCCCATGGGATGCGGGATCCAGACCCCTCCATCCTATAGGATGTGGGATCCAGAGCCCTCCATCCCGATAGGATACAGGATTCAGAGCCCCATATCCCATAGGATACAGGATTCAGAGCCCCACATCCCGATGGGATACAGGATTCAGAGCCCCA